AGACAGCCCACATCCAATAACTGGTAGATTCAGAAGCATAAAAACTTCACCCCTTTTAAGAATTCAGTACTTAATCTGAAGAGCTATCCTAGCTCCAGAGCTCCCCATAGGATTGGCTGAGACCTCTGATAGGACTACATCACAGCCCAACTTTTCTATCTGTGCAGTTCTGCTTCCTGCACTCGCCTACAAGTTTTGATCCAAAGGACACAACACAATAAATTTCCCACTTGCAAATCTCTGTGTCTACTTACTTCCCTGAAGAACTTCACCTGTAGCAATAGAGGATGACGTGGGGACCAATCTCACTGTATTTGGCAAGCTACATTTATTCATTCAAGAAGCATATACGGACCTTGACTCTGTGCCAGCCACCATTCTAGAGCTTAGAATATAACAGGAAAAAAAAAAAAAAAAACACTTCTCTTCTCTTGTAGGCCTGATATTCTAGTGGGGAAAACCTACACAAACATCATAGAACTTTAAGTAACGTGTGCTCGGATGAAAAAGAAACAGGGCAAAGGGAAAGGTAGTGTGTATGTTTAGAAGCAGATAGGACTTTAGATACGATGGCCATATAAAAACTCTAAAGAAGTGACATGTAAGCAGAAAGCTATACAAACTAATGGGACAATCCATGATGGTATCTGGGGGAAGAATATCACAGACAGAAGGAACACCAAAAACAAAGGCCCTGAGGTAGAGGTGTGCCTGGCACGTCTTGAGAAGACGATCAGGAGCACAATATGAGGTGGGGGTCATACCACATAGATCTTTTTGTTTAAGGAATACAGATTATTCTAAGTCAAATGGGAAGACATGGAAGGGTTCTGAGTAAGGCTAACTCATGATCAGATTTCCATTTTAAAAGGATCACTCTCCTAGTCGGTGAGAAAGAATCTAGAAAGGAGCAAGAGTGGAAGCAGAAAGGCTATTAGGAGGCTACTATAGAGGTCTAAGGCAGAAACGAGAACCCAGGCTTACGGTTATGAATCATTACAGTTTACCTGGGTCTGAGGCTTCTCGGGGTATACAGGACTTTTAGGGCTAAAACCAATAGTCTCTTGCAAATCAAGAGGGTTGGTCTCTCTGCCTGTAGTGGAATGAGGGGCCTTTAAGTAGGGAGGTGAGGTCAGATTCAAAATATATCCTGAAGGTTGAGCACACAGTAAAGTAGAAGAAGAAGTTTTTTTTTGTTTGTATGTTTTGTTTTGTTTTGTTTTGTTTTGTTTTTGAAGTTTTAGATAGCTGGGGCAGAGACAAAGTACACAGCTTCTTAAAAGTCAGGAAAAATGGGTCTGGACCTTTCAAAAGATTAGCCTGGCATTAGTATACAGTCTACACTGGACTTTGGAGAGACTATGACTGATGAGATTCTTCCTCAGACTGCTGCAGGAAAAAGATGACAGATGTGTTTAGAGCTTCATCTCAAACAAAGTGGAAGTGAAGTGATGGAGGTGGTGGCAGTGACGGTGACAGTGGCAAGTATCACAGTAGAGATAGAAGTCATAGCAGAGGTAGAGGTGATGAGGGTAGAGGTCATATTGATGAGGATGATAGGGAAAAATTAAGTAAAATTTAAAAATCTAATTAGGGAGACATTGACAAATGTCAAGATCTGTGGGCTGAAGGACTAAAGGGCAATAGAAGGAACATTGGTCACTGGAAACCGATTACTTAGCCACCTTGACAGAAAGGGATGTTGGAGAGGAGAACAGGCAAGGGGAAGATTTGGTGATAAACAACCAGTTACATGAATTTAAAGTGAGAGTGAAATATCTGAATGGGTGCTCAGTTGGAGTATTAGTTTGTCATTCCAGATGGCAGTCCGATAGTAAAGAAAACTCATTATTTTGAGTCAAAGGACCTTGCTTCAATCCCACACTGAGATGCCTATGTAATCGTATGTAACCTCTGAGGCTTAGACTCTTTATGTATAAAAGGGGCAAGACGGTACGTAATTCACAGGGCTGTTGTAGAGAAAACAAGATGGAATTGTTGAGAAGTATGGATCCCGAGGTGTAGATTTGGGGATCATCTTTCTGTGTAAGTTTTCCAAGGACCACTTCAGTTTCCCATCACCACAACCCCACTAAAGAAAGCTTTTTTTTTTTTTTAAATCTTGAAAATCTTGGTTTCTCGAACTTTAAAGTGATACACATAAAAGGGCTTGCTATGAAAGGAGTATATTGCTACTCAACCATCTTTCTTGCAAATGGACATGTGAAAACTATGAACTGAGAGGCTGATGTGAAACTGTCCATAAAGCTCTCAAATCATTCCAGTCCTTCTGTGCAAGTTACAAGAGAGTAAAACCTTCAGATGTTAGAACAAGACTCAAGAAGAGAAGCACATATTCATCCAATCACAGAAGTTCAGTGAAGGACTTATTAGAAGGAAAGAAACTACTTGTTTTCCCACACCTCATACCAGTATGAGCATCTCAATCTAAGATTCTGAAGTAACAACACGCACTTATGATGTAAGCCTCAGACCCAAGGCTTGTTTCAGCTGTGGCCAAGGAGAACACATCTTCAGAAGGGGTCGTCGGCACAAGTGCAGCTCGGCCAGACATGGACCTAGGAGGGTGGTTTCAGAGCCTCCCCATGACGCACATCCCTGCTCTGTTTGCTTCACGAGAATTTCAGGTTCCCACCTCATCCACAACATATGAAAAACACATCGCAATCATATTCGGAAATGTCCTAAACCCAATTAATCAAGAGTCAAACCAGCATGTGGTTGTCCAAATTCTGAAATTTTGTTTTATAATATCATTAAAGCTGTTTTTTAAAGAATTAGAAAAACACATATATTTCTACCTTAGATCCTTACAACTCAAAAAATATAACTCATAAGATAAAGGTTCATATGAGCTGAATATTTTCTTTGCCTTTTTCTAGAGAATGAGTTTCTGTTTACCTGCTTGATGCCACAAAGAACACTAATTCCAGAATAGTGATTAGCTTTCAAATGGCTTATAGATACAGAAGTACTAAGATTTTCAAACACTGCAAAGTAACTTCAATGGATTAGTATAAAAATACAAGTTTATTTTAGCATACCAGGTACAATTTTATAGGCATGTGAAATTTTATACATTCAGGTTCCTAAATTAAGGAGTTAAGTGTAAATCTGAAAATGGTGCTGAGATGCCATTAATCATAGATTTAAACTGTGGGCTATAGAGAGAGGCCATTTAAAAGAGAACAGTCCTGTATGTTGGTAAATTGAACACCAATAAAAATTAATTTATTAAAAAAAAAAAAAAGAACAGTCGTGTCTAAAATGCCTACCTAACTAGAATGGTTCGAGTAACCTGGTTCTGCAACAGAGTGAATTTCCCAGGGAGGGTATTGTGGCAAAAAGATAGAATCCTGCAAAAAGAACCCTCCTCCTAGTGAGTGTTTTTGAACTGCAATTTTGTTCATTTAAATTTATAAGGTTCAGATGAATTTGTCCACACTTTGTATTAATTTGTGATATTTATTCCCATTCTGTATTTTCAAAGACCATGAAAAAGAATGCACTCTACTAGATTCTCCTCATGTGTAAATTCCTAGGGAGTAAGTAGGCACTTTGGGGGAATTTAGCCCATTCAGTAACTATTATCTACACTAATGGAAGGGAGAAAGGACCTAGATAAATCAAACCAGGGATAGTATTCATAATTCCATTTACTTTTTGAAATGCATGGTAAGTGGTAATTCAGCCAAAGACCAGTTTCAAGGAGTTTGCAGTCATATGGGAAAATTCATATGTGTGCACAATAAAACAAAAACAGGAGTCTTCAGTGACATAATAGATACATGGGTAAGGTGCTGGGAGGACTCAAAGAATCAAAGAACTGGGGTTATAAACACACATGGTGATATTTTCAATAAAGCATTACTTAGGCAGAAAATCTATCCCTCTCCCTGACCCTCTCCCCACCCCCCAACCACACACAGAATGGTAACTTCTCAGCTATAGAAAAATCAGAACAGACGGATACCCTTTCCTCTTTTTTTTTTTTTTTTAAAGATTTATTTCTTTGAGAGAGCAAGAACATCACACAGCACACAGGGCAGGGGAGGGACAGAAGAGGAGGGGGAGAGGGAGTGCCAAGGGGACTCCCCGCTGAGCGTGGAGCCCTGCTTGGGCTCCACCTCATGACCCTGAGATCACAACCTGAGCCTGCAATCCAGAGTCAGACACTTAACCCACCGCACCACCCAGGTGCCCCATACCCTTTCCTTTTTTACAGATGGATATAATGAATACCCAGTAAAAGAAATTATATTTCCTTAAATTGTTAGATTATATCTAGGCAATTATTTCCACACTGGGGACACGGGCTGATTTAACATATACATGAGGTTATTAGATATAGTTCTAATAAGAACGTAACATGAGAAGGCCTTCTGCACCTTATTCTTGTGTTGAGCCTATCTCCAGAAATCTGACATAACCATCATCTTTGGAATCAGAATTCACTTTTTTATGAGGGGGTAGGGGGAGCACATTCTAAGAAATAAACATTAGTTTGCCGTATACCTAATTCCTTGTATCAGAAAGCAATCTAGATACCTTTAGCGTCCCACCCACTCTCATGCTTATAAATGTGAATTCAAGAATTCTCATGTTGAACAATATCATGGTTCTTAATTTATTAAGTAAGACACTTATGGCATAAGAACCCATATTTCTTTCTGGAAAAAAGTCAAAGTTCTCTATATCATTTTTTTAAACCCTGAATGAAATGTTCAGAAATGCCAGAGATATAGGATTGTGAATGTTTCTTGGATCAGGATGACCATGAAACAACAGGAGGGGCTAGGAGATGCCCTGTATTACTGTTTATTTCAATTTTCCAACATGCTGCTTAGATTTGTATAAATATTAGAATAAGGGGGAAAAGTTGGATCTCACTTGAAATGAGTAAGACTGAAAAACTTCTACTTGCTGCCCTTTGGCTACTAGGAATTTGGAGTTTCTCATTAACAATTCAGTCCAGGGGCACCCGCCTGGCTCAGTCGGCAGAGCGTGAGACTCCTGATCTCAGGGTTGTGAGTTCAAGCCCCATGTTGGGTGTAATGTTTACTTAAAAATAAATAGAAGAGCTAAATCTTGAAAAAAATTCAATCTAACACATATACCAATCCTTTCTCCAAAAATCTAAATATAAATTATTAGACATAATCCTATCTGAAATGTAAAACGACAAAAAATTTAGGTAGGTTGATAATACTAAAGGAGTGTTAGGCTCTTTTCAAAACTATTTAATAAAGTCATGAAATTTTGCCAAGAGCGTTGCAGTGCTATTCAGAGTAGAGTTTCTAAAAAAGTCATCTCAGTCTCATTTCCTGAACTGTTGAATTATGGATATATTTTGATGAATGATAAAGTATAGATGAGCTATTTAAAACTGAAATGGGTTACAATCACTCTTCATACCGCAGTGAATGAAAGACCACTGGGTAAATGCCAATGAACCTAAGAGTTTTCACACTCTAATTGTCCTAATCCTCCTCCTGAGGAATTTGCCATGAATGTGTACAAACGATATTTACCTTTGTTTAAAAAGTTACTTATGGTCTCTTACTGGTTTTCACAGCAAGAGAAATTGGGCGATATTTGCTTCTCCCTTCGCTATGTCCCAACTGCTGGCAAGCTGACTGTTGTCATTCTGGAGGCAAAGAACCTGAAGAAGATGGACGTGGGTGGCTTATCTGGTAAGACTGATGTTTACTGGGCTTTTCTAAATGTGGTTTCATCATGGATATCAAATGCATAGCACACATGCTGCGACTCCCCACTCCTTATTGAGCACAGCTCCCTTCCCATGGAGAACTAGAAGTAGTCTCAGAACCCATCCCAACACAGTGCTCCAGAAGCCACTCTCAATTTATTGGAACTGGCATAAAAGATGAAATTTATTTTCCCATTTCACAGCCAGAGTATCAATAATTAGTTCTACAGCATTGAAAGCTAGACTTTTTTTTTCTTCTCCTGTAAAAGGCAATGCCTATGATCATTGGTTTTTTTGTGAGGTGTTTTGTTTTTTTAACCAAAATTTACCCATGACAGGAAAATGGTATTTTAACTAAGACTTATTTATTAGGATTTTGATAGTCTAACATAGTTTTTAGTAATACTGTTTTATTAAAGATGCAGCATTTAAAATATAAGTAAACAAAATCTATTTGAGGATGGATCCCCAAAGTAACACATTTATTTCTACAGTTTATGTTGGAGATGGAGGAGACTTTTAGATTTAAAGTTCTATATAATCTAAACTTGTTTGTTTTTTTTTAAGTGTTCTCTTGCTCAAAAGCTAAGTCAACTGAAGGATTTCCACAACTGAATAGGAATTTTTAAAAATTTTATCTTCTGTGTAATTATATTTTAATTATATAGTAAATTATTAAAGCATGAGAAATTTTCCTTATATGCCACAAGGTCGTCATAAATAGACTACAGTTGTCATTGTTTGTGGCTGTAAATTAGAACCAATATTACTGGTTATTCAGTGCTTTCTCTAATAAAAATATTGCAAACTTCAAAAGGTCATCTTAATGCAGCATGGGTCATTTTATATTCTAGAGCATAACAGCTCAAAAGTGTTAAAGCTGAGTTTCCACTTACTGAACTACTAATTTGTCAACCAAATTCTGGTATTGAAGTTTATTTCTCTTTATAAGTAAGTTGCCTGGGAAAGCTACACTAATTCATGTCACAAAGACCCCATTTAAAAACCTACTGCTTTCACTGCTTAAAGAATAACAGAGCAAATTTAAAGCAATGAGCAGTTTACTCTAGAAATGTAAGGGAAAAAAATTTAATGTGCCTAAGATACGAAATATATGCAGATAAAAATGTATATGTGTATACACATACACCTTTTTTGATTCTGTCCACTATCAAGGCCTAGAAACAAAAACTGATCCAGGGGCAACCAGCATCCCTAGCACCAGATATGGCTTGAAAATATGCTTTCTCACTGAAAGAACCTGGTACTTATTGGAAAAATAGCAGGAAGTATACAGGCCTAGAACAGCTCATCTAACCAGAAAGCAGGGAAGCTACCAAAGAATACAAGGGTCATGTCAAAAGACTTGGAAGCCACCCCAAAGGTACTTTCACTGGCCAAAGCTGTGATCATTTGAGTGTCAGTAATCTAATAAATGTAGGGTATTCAAATCTAAAACAAAAAAGCATTTACTGTACGGAGATAGTCTCAACTTTAAGAACAATTCACTCCCAGATACTACTTAGTACCTGAGGTACGACTTCAGACAACTCTGACCTCTCTTTCCTTTGGTTCAATGGCCAAATCCCATTCTACATGGTGTCTTCATATCCTGCCTCTTGCGCTCCTTTCCCAGCTCCCACGCCAACCACCACCTCATCGCCTGCGTCCAGTACCCCTAATCTTCCTTCCAATTCATCGTATTCCCTTAACAGAATTCCAGAGGCAGCTTAACCATGAAGCCAATGAAACATCAGGGGCCCTCATTTGTTTTGTCTTCTTCCAAGGTCCTGGAAATGAGTTCCCATGATCCCTGGTATTTCAACCACAATTTGTCAGTCACAGTCTGAGTCTCTGACTTCACAGCCATCATTTATCTCTTCTTGTTTATCAGCAACTGGGTGGCTACAGGCATTTCTGAGATTTCATTATGGAAATCTGGGTCTAGCAGAATATATGTAATGTAGCTTGTAATCACTTCCACATGTAGGCAGGTTACTGGGGGTGGGGCTACAGGGGGAGGAAGGGCTGCGGGAGGACTCCTACCACCCACTCTGCTAACACTGTGACATGAAAGGGGCAAGGCCAAAGGTCATATCTAATTTAGTATTCATCATTTCCTATGGATTTTTTCCTTCTTTATGTTCCTTTTGTTTTCAAATGTCAAACTACATTTGCTAAAATGGCTAGTTATTTGAATCAAAGTGGCTGTTTTGCCAGGGTCTAAGATTATATTAGCTTCGGGATCTGTACACCCTGCGTCTACCCCTACACTGCAATTACCTGGAATGCTTTTAAGGATATTTCAAAACTCCCAATCTCAAGGGATCCATTTGCCTGTGAAATTAAGTCAATCATTCAGGTCTACCTATCATAGATCCCTCCAGACTATCTCCCACTATATTTTTATATTTTAATCAAATTAGCACATAGTTCTTCAGGCTGTATAATTTGCTGCCTCCATTATTTGCTTAAATAATTTCCTTCACCTGGAACTCTTCCTTCAAACAATGCCTAAATACTATCCATTTTTAGACCAAGCTGACGTCTTATATTCTCCATTTGTTGAACAAATAGTGTCTCCCTACTTTGTGTTAGGCATTGTTCTTGGAATTAGATTTATACCAGTGGACAAAACGACTTAAGACCTTACCCTTGTGTAGCTTACATTTTAATTTGGGGAGACAGGGAACCAATAAATTAGCATCTAGCATGCCAGGAGATGAGTGCTATGGAAAAAGCAGTTTTTTGAAGTCTTTTCTGATCCATCCTGATAGAACACATCTTTCCCTTTTTAAAATGCCAACAGCAGTTTGTTTACACCCTTCAAACATCACCCTTCTCTCTCACTAGACTCTGCTCTGTATTTATATCTCTCACAATGCCCTCAGTGACTGGTAGCACTGAACATAGCTGCTGAATGAATAATGAATTATTTACAAAGGAGCTATGGCCTGGAAAAACAAGTCTTGCATTTCAAATCTGTCTAACCTACTTACCGTTAAAATAACTTTAAGCACTTGGATGGTCTATCTCAAAGTAATTTGACCTATGTCTGAGGAGACCAAAATTATGTAATGAGATCATCCCAGGTAATTCAAATGTTTAACAACAGTTGCCAGAAATGGCTAGTTACTTAGAACCAAAGTGGGCTGTTTTACTAGGGTTTGATTCCCACTCTACCACTACTGGCAATTTGACATTGAGCAAGTTATTTAGCCTTCTGAGCTGTAGTTGCATTGTGTATAAAGTGGGAGTAATAGGATTTTTTTTTATAAAGGTGCTGTGAGAAACAATGTACAGAAGTTGGCACACCTAAGTGCTCACTAAATATTCTTGTAATTATTTCTATTAGTGACTTTATGAAATCGTTGGCTAAATATGCAAAATATGAAAGCAACCAGTGAACAGTTTAATCAATTACTTGACTGGGATAAAAGAAAAGTTTAATAGGATTGGCTGGTCAATTAAGGCAAAATGAGATTAGCAGTCCTATGTTTTACACAGATCAAACAGTGAATTAAGACAGGGTAATGAACTAAACAAGAAATATTGGGGAAAAAAGAAAAACGTTAAATAATTGTTCTTACTACTCTACTGCAGGGTTTCTTTTCTACTATGTAAATTTAAAATGCATTGCATAAAGATTTTGCTTCTATCATCTACCCAAAGAGTAAATCATGCAAATTCCAACCCTTCTTATAGGACAAACTTGACTGGTCCATTCACATGTCTACAGTAGACCTTTGCACTTACATGCTTAATATTCCAATTCTCAAGTATTTGTGAGCAACAGCTAGAGTTTCTGAAGCTAGCTATTTGTATTAAAATCTTGAATCCTGCAGATTTCAAGACTGTCCTTCAGGAGTAAGTTGGTAGAGTAGAAAACAAGTCAGGTTTTTTGGTTTTTTGTTTTTTTTTAAGATTTTATTTATTTATTCATGAGAGACACAGAGAGAGAGGCAGTGACATAGGCAGAGGGAGAAGGAGGCTCCATGCAGGGAGCCCGACGTGGGACTCGATCCCAGGTCCCCAGGATCACACCCTGGGCTGAGGGCAGACGCTCAACCACTGAGCCACCCAGACTGCCCACAAGTCAGGTTTTTGCCCCATACTTGGAGGAAAGGAAAAAGAAAAATCAAGCCTTCTGCCTAGTAACGACTTCCCAGTATCTTCACAGCCTCTTATACATCTGTGTGCTTAGAATAAATTTCTCTTCAAATAAATGTTGTATTTTTTTGTGAAAACTGGGGAAGACTGTGAACACTGTATTAGTCCAGTTAGGCTGCTATAACAATTTCATAAGCCGAGTGTCTTCAATGGAAACTTATTTCTTATAGTCCAAGATCAAGGCACCAGCAGGTTCAGAGTTGGGTGAGAAACTGCTTCCTGGTTTATAGGTGGCTATCTTATTTTTGGGTCTTCACATGGCAGAAGAAGGCAGTTTTCTGGGAACTCTTTTATAAGGGCACTAATCCTATTCATGAAGGCTTCACCTTCATAATGAAATCACTCCCCAAAGGTCCCACCTCCAAACACCATCACATCAGGGATTTGGTGTCAACATGGGAATTTTCGGGGGATGTTAGCATTCAGTCTGCAGCATAGAAGTCTAAGATATTGAAGGCATTAGAATAGTTGAAGATTCTCAAAGGTGTGAGGTTGTAGGTCTTGTATTTTTGAGCTATGTATTTTTTAATATTCAAATCTACACCTGTGCAGACTCTTAAGTTACTCTCATGGAGTAAATACCTTGCTCCTAACTGAGCCTCTTGTTTCTGTTGATGTTACAACAATTACTTTTCTCACTTTTTGTTTTTGTTCATTTTCTGTGTATGCATGTGAGTGTGCATGTGTGTGTGTTTGGAGGGGGATTGTCATACCAGAAATTTAAAGATTTGTAAATACGGCTTAAATGAGAAAGTTCAAGACTAAGTTCATTTGGGCTTTCTATCACAAATCAAAATTTTTTTGGTCTTCTAA